GTTCATGATAACTCTCGGCTCAGCAATGACATATTTTATTGGAACTGCTGTCACCTGGCGTACATTGGCCCTTATAGGTAAATTCAGTCTATTTTTGAGGTGTATGATTTCAGTCAGATTGCAGCTCTATGCAGCATTAAAATGTCAAACTACATAATTACATTTGCAGGAATAATTCCATGTCTAGTACAGCTTGTTGGTTTACTTATTGTTCCGGAGTCTCCGAGATGGCTGGTGAGTCGATGACTCAAAATTCTTCTGGAGAACGTTTATATATGTAACCATGTTGTGAATATGTTTTTCAGGTTGCTTATGAGAAAATAACCGATGTTAATAATAAATTAAGAATCATTCAAGAACAGCTTGATTTTTCTGATAAATCATGAGATAGGAAAACAAATCCTTCCTGGGTTGCTCAAATTATGAATATATATGCAGGCTAAGATTGGTCGAGAGAAAGACTGCGAAGCTGTCTTACAGCGCCTTAGAGGAGAGAGTGCCAACATATCTGAGGAAGCAACTGAGATTACAGTAACATTCAAACTCTTACTAAATAGAAGACAAGAATTTGTCAATTCCAACTTTCTGGGCAATATGCATTTCGAAAGGTATGATTAACCATGGACATATTCAGGACTACATACAGAACCTTAAACAACTCCCTGAAGACAGAATCCTAGACTTGTTCCAGCGGATATATGCTCGTTCACTCATGGTGACCCTTTCAACCAGATTCTATTCTTCTCCTGTGGCCATGTCATGACTTTCTGACCTTTCGTTGGATTATTTGAAATTTTAGGTTGGAGTTGCGCTGATGTTAATGCAACAATTTGGAGGTGTTAACGGAATTGAACTTTATTCGAGTTCTATATTTGAAGCAGCAGGTAGAAAATTTTCTTTTCCTGTATTATGATACAAAGTATGAACACTGATATAATAAAGGCAAAGCATATCAAATTAAAAGTTCTAGTTTATGCCAGGTTTTTCAGCTAAAGTTGGGATTACTGCAATGGCTATTGTTCAGGTAATGCAAGAATAAGTGTGTATTTTCAGTATTGGTTTCTTCATTATGTATTGCTAAGACACTGGAAAATTTCCTCATACAGATTCCTATGACCATACTTGGTATACTATTAATGGATAAATCCGGAAGGAGACCGCTTCTACTGGTGAAATGGCTATAATGTTTTTTTTTTTCCCTACTGGTGTTCTTGAATGTAAAGCCCTTTGCTGATTATACTACTGCTTCTGCAGAGTTCTTCTGTGGGAACGTTCATAGGCAGCTTACTCGCTGGGGTGTCATTCTCATTGCAGGTTCCTTCCTAAAATTTTGTTTGTTCCAGGACACTTATCTTTTGGTATTGTTCGTCAACTTCACTTCCTGGAATTTCCAGTAAAATCAATGTTTTAACGTGATCAGGACCATCAGCTATGGAAAAAAGTCACGCCGGTTCTAGTGTTTGTTGGTATACTGGTAAGACAATGGACACATAAATTTTCTCTAAATTTGCACTCAAATACAATTGTCCAGTTTTCTTATGTCGAAACTAGTAATCCAAGCATGGTCAATACAGTTGTTCATTTTGCATCCAATTTCTGATACTGAAGAGTAGGAATCATTATCTTTGAATTTGTTAAGCTGTATGTGGAAGTAATTGATTCTGCAATTAGGTCTATAGCGGATCATTTGGGCTAGGACTTGCAGGAATACCATGGCTCATAATGTCAGAGGTTAGTAAACTTTATCTCGCTTGATTTCCGGTTTCAAAAGAACACAATAAAAAACTAAGAGTTTATCAATCCAACAGATCAAGCATATTTGTAAAAAGCTGAGACTTAATCGAAAATTGCTGTTTCAGATCTTTCCTATTAACATAAAGGATTCAGCTGGAAGTTTTGTGTCTTTGGTCAATTGGTCTAGTTCCTGGATTGTTACCTTCATATTTAACTTCTTATTGGAACGGAGCCCAGCAGGTGATGCCACACATTCTCCCAATATGAACTTCTACATTACCATTTTCCGAAATAATTAATCTTCATACTTGTATGCTCACCATAGTTCAATACAAAGTCTACCTTCCATTTCTTCAGGAACATTTTTCATATTCTCTAGCATTAGCGGCTTGACTGTCCTATTTGTGGCAAAGATAGTACCAGAGACCAAGGGGCGAACACTCGAACAAATTCAGTCAGTGATGAACCCACTAACAGCTAGAAGATGAACCTGCAGGCATGCTTGTCCAAAGGTTAAAAATGGTCCTGCAATCCAGGGATGCAATAGTGATTGATCATGAATTGAAAATTTCTGACAGTCAAATCAAGATATGTCAAGTTTCTACGCTGCATTACTCTCATTTTACTGCATATTCTGCACAAATCTGTACATGGCATGAACTAAGGAAGGGCATAGCAGAATTTATCTGTCACTTCTCGTGTATTTTAGAACTTGTTTCCTTGTTCAGGTCCTTTCTGCAAATATTGTAAAGTGTATGCATGATGATAAAATGACATATTTGACATTGTTGATGCTAGAATTTGCTCAAGAAATAATATGTTGGAGTTGATAGATATATAATGGATTGATGGAAATTGGGTCCCATGATTGATGACCACTGGATCCCTCCAATGTTCCAAAATGTTCATGAAATGACCATTGAAATGATCAAATGGACTTTCCCTTTCATCAATTAAGCAATTCTATCCACAAGAAACACCCATCCTTCTTCTACAAACGTATGGAATTCAATAATTGAGAGAAGCTTCAAGATATTTTTGGCATTCAATTAGAAAAGCCCCACCATTCCTTGGAATATCCTTAAGGGGCGTTTAGTTGGAGGTAATAAAAGATTACTAGAGTTATATCATCTTATATTATTTAATTATCATGTTTGGTTAGGTATTATAAGATTATCTTAGTAATCTTATTTTTGTTACAATTATATCCCTTATTAATAAAAATTTTAGACAATAATGCCCATGTTTTAAAATAAATTTACATTAATATACCATTTCAATTTTATCATTATTTAATTAAGTTTTGAACAACAATGCCCTTATATTTAAAACAAATTACAGACTACCACCGCCACCAAGCCACCATCGCCGACAGCGGGCCAACCACCACGGACAACCGTCGGAAAGTCGTCGGAGTCCCTAAAAATGACCTAGATTCACTAGGAGGCTTCGATATGACCATTTTCGGCCATATTGATGGTCGAAAACGGCCATATCAGGCAGGATCTGGTCGTTAACGGCCAAATCCCTAGCCATTAGCGGTCAGATATATTCTGTCGGAATAGATCTGGCTGATAATTGCCAAGGATCTGGCCATTCGATCTAGCTGGAAATGGACATAATAGATCTGGCCATTTCCGGCCAGATCTGGCATGATATGGCCATTTTCGGCCATCACTATGGCTAGAAACGGCCATATCGGAGCCTCGTGGTCACAGTAAGCTACTCACGATGACTTTCGAAGATTTTCGACGGTGGTTTGCAGTGGTGACAGAGGATGGGGGTGATTTTATCATAAATTAAAGTTTTATATAAGCAGGGATGTTTTAGCTAAATCTGAAACATTGGGGGTTAGAAGAAATTATTAAAAAATTAATAATACAAGTAATATTATATTAATATTTAAAAAGAGAGCAATTTAGTAATTGAAATAACATACCTACCAATTTATTCCCCCTAACCAAACATATTAATGTAACATACCGATCAATTAACAAAGCACATTTTCCCACAGAATTTTAATAATCTTCAAGGTAATATAAGATTCCAGTAATCCAACATTCTCTTAACCAAACATAACTTTAGTATTATAAATCGATTAATGTACCAACGATCATTTATAATATGATAGACTCTCCCGTACCACAATCTCTTAAATTTCTAAAGTAAAAAATTGTTTTCTACTAATTTTTTTTTTTTTTATAATCAATGTCTAAATCAATGATTTACGTACACGTCAACTACTATCGATGAGATATCCACCCATGCAATGGCCCCTCGTGCCAACACTCTGAATAAGCTCTCATGTCCTCCAATTTTAAATACTAAAATAAATAATTTACATTTACATCCCTATGATTTTATCTACACGCAAGGGTAGACACTAATTTCAAATACTAGTATTTTGAGCCTTTTAACTTTGCAAAACTTTGTTTATCAGTTAGTTGACTGTTTATTGATTTGGAAATTATACTAGGTTGACGTAAATAAACCTCTAAAAAATGGTGAAAGATGCACTATGCCACTATTGTTTCTATAATCACTTTTCATTGCTTTTGGAAGAGTATTTTCATAGTTTCAGTAATTTTTTCCAAGTTCATTAACGATCGACTAACAATTTATTAAGAGAGAGGATTAAAACCTGAAAAATTCGCACCTTGGCTAATTGGTAATTTCTTCTAGCCCTTACAGAAATACTAATTGATTTAGGTACTTACAGTACTTTAATAAGCACACCATTCTTCAAATTTTCAGCTGTTGTTCCATGCTTTGTGCAAGTATTGGGTATATTCCATTCCTGAATCCCCTAGATGGTTGGTGAGTCCTATCTGAATATTTTGTCTGACAAATTGGAGTCATTGAACCATATATCATAGTCATCTGTATTTAACTGCAGGCGATGGTTGGTCGAGAGAAAGAATAGATGCTGCTCTACGAAACTTAGGGGAAGGACTGTATATATTCTCAGGAATCAGCTAACATCCAAGTGAATATTTTATTTCTTAATCTTGAATTTCAAATCAAAAGGAAAAAAAAATATATCATTTAGAAGTATTGGCATATCCCACCCGATATGTTGTTTTCTCTATTCTGCAGTTTTACACAGAGGCCTTTCAGCAACAATCCGAAGAAGGAATCTTACACTGTTCCGGCCCAGAATGCTAATGCACCATAGTGAGTTTATGAAAAAGAAAAATTATTTTTGTGGTAAATTTTCTTCTGTGAATTAATTCTCTGATCTTCGATGGTTTAGGTGGGAATTGGGATATGTCATTGCAGCAATTGGGAGGGATTAATGCCATTTTGTATTATTGCAGTTCCATATTTGAAGCAGCTAGTAAGTGAACAGCCTTCAGTTGCTTAATGTTTTTATTGATAAAGTTTAAACAATTAGTAAAGACTGATATGATATTTATCATGAAAGATTTTTCAAGTAAAGTGGGGACTATCTCCATGGCTATTATTCAGGTAACTAATTGACTCTTATAAACTGCAAGTGAATTAAGAGATTTTTCCATCTGCCATTTCTATATATACCAATTGAAAATCTGTGCAGATTCCGGTTGTTCTTGTTCTGTTATCTTAATAGACAAATCCGGAAGAAGACCATCTATGGTTAGAATTCATGCTATAAGAATTTCATTTTAAGTTTCTGAAGATATCCATAAGTGAATACAAGTTTCAAATGTCATACAGGTTTCAAGCTCCGGAACCTGCTTCAGGTCTTCCTTCTTGGCTATCATTTGTCTGCAGGTTCCTCCCAAAGCGAAATCTTCATATTTTGTGTCTGTTTATGATTTGAAATGGTAAAATTCACTAAAATTTACACTGAAAACTCTTTGTATTGTTTGTCATGATCAGTATCACAACTATTGGAAGGAGATCACTCCAGTTTTGGTTTAATTGGCATAATGGTATACATACTGAAACTGAATTTTTTTTTTTTTTTTTTTTTTCCTGAAAATTAAATAACAAGGGCTGATTGATGCTGCAATCACATATGTGATCACGGCCTACATTATAGTTTCCCATAGGCATGACGGGGTTGCCAATGGTAAAATGTCCGAGGTATAAAATTATACAGAGTTTGATTCTACATTCATTTTGGTTCATCTGTGAGATTGAAAAATTGAGAAATGACCAAGTTCCATTAGGTTTCCTGAACATCAAGGGCTCAGCTGGAAGCTTCAACTTTTGCCATTCTGTATGCGCTTGGGCTGTTGCATACACTTTCAATTTTATGTTTGAATGGAGCCCAACAGGTATGTATTTTTTAAACCAATCCCCCCCATTTTTACATCTCTGATCACTTTTTCTTTTCTTTTTTTACTATAATTTAAAATATTCTATCCAAACAATGCAGGAACATTTTTCATATACTCTGGCATTTGCGCTTTCCAATCCTATTTATTGCAAAGCTTGTGCCAGAGACTAATGGGCGAACACTTGAGAAATACAAAATTGACCATCTTTCAACTGAGAAACACGCATAACATTACAGTCTAGTGCAATCATAAAAGAATAATACCAGATGTACAGATGACGTATCATCTAATGAATGATGAATGTATACAAAAGTTAATTCCATAAGTATAAATAAATATAGATGAATGAGTCGTGTCACATCTGGAGATTTAAGTTTGGATATTATATGTTATAAAGATGATATTTGATATGGATACCCACCTCAATGCATGTGAGGTGACAGAAATTCTAACCCTGATATATTATTGAAATGATTATGAAAAGAATAAGTTTAACCAAATCTTTTGAACATAATAAACCAGAGATATCTTCTATATATCAAAAGAAAATCGTCTAGACCCAGGATTCTAAACAGTAACCTCAAAGTCCTAAACATTTTCAAAATAATAATAAGAGTTATATCATTTTCCACCCTAAGATTTCACTAAACAAACTTCCCTCTCCTGTATTTCAAAAAACATTACTTCCCACTGTCAAGGCTATGTTCGTTATAAAAAGATAGTCAAATTAATTGAATAAAGATAAGCTGACAAACACAATTCACAAACTTCTTTCACAATATTGACGTGACAGTTCGTAATTGGTCAGTTCGCATTAGATAGACAGGATCCGTTATTGAGCAGATGAGACAATGCAAGTTGACAATTACGAGCTAACATGTTATGTTTATGAGAGAAAATTAGTAAAAAGAGTTTATGAGTTAGTATCACAGTATTAATTTTACTCATGGTTTAATTTATTAATTTATTTATTTTTTAAGGCAAAGACCCCATTTTTTCATTCAGTCTTATTCTCATCTGAAAATATGGTGGACTTTTTACCACTCTGGGTTAACTTCTTCTTCAATTGCAATAATTATGCCCTTGAAGTGTTGAAGTTATAATCAAAGGTGATTGGGAAATCAATTTTGTTTTTCGTGCAGAAATGTCAATCCGAAAAGACATCCAGAGCTTGAAAATATAGGACTTCAACAAGAGAGAATAAATTGCAAAAGTGTTAATCGAAAAGACATCCACGGTTGTTTGATCAGTAAATATTGTCATATTAACGAAAATAAATTATTTCGAGGATTACTAAAATGTATTTAGTCGATTGTAATAAATTTATCGTGTATATTATGTAATTTATTAAATTGTCTTCTTTTTTAATATTAATATAATATTTTTTGTTATATTTTTAGAATTCTTTTAACCTACGTTGAGATATTGCTAAAACATCCTAATCACATAAAAGTTAATTTCCAACCAAATCACCCCCACCATCCCAAGTCACTGTTGACTGCCTGCACCATCACCGATGGTGACGACAATGGTCGAATGACATATAACAGTCAAATCTGATCGGCTGTATACCAGTCTATCCATTTCTGATGGATCCAGCCGAAAATTGCCAAATCTACGGCCAGATCTATCATGGATCAGAGTTTAAAAATATAGGACTTCAAAGAGAGGGAATGAATATTAAGTATAATACGTGAGACTGAAGGGCATAAATTAAACAAACTGTTTCTCTTAAAAATTCCTGCTCACTGTCAACCTACTTTTTTATTTATATTTTATACCCCAGTTGCAGCTAGTGTACTTTCATGTTTGAATTTCCATCTCTTTCTTTTAAGAAAACACGTGAGGAGAAGACATCACAAAATTCTTATACACAGAAATTGGTAAGACTTAAATTGTCACTCGTATAATCACTCCAAAGAGCTTCATTGCAAAATTGCAATGGATGAAAATGCATCCGATAACTAAAATCAACATTATTTAGGTGTAAAAGTTTAGACAGGAGATCTTACAACTTTTTCTTTGGTAGACATTAAACTATATAACTATACCTTTTCTAAATAGTACTATAGCAAATGACATATTCCCACCCGATGTTTAGCGAAATCCCCAGTTGATACCCTTGATTGCATTTACAAAATTCTCACCTTAAAGTAATGTCATTTCCTTTATTTAACAGATTACCAACATTTTATTATAGTAGACGCACATTAACATGCTAAAATGCGTTGACGCTTCTTTGGTAGAAGATGGGCATTTTATCAAAAAGTGACTCACTTTAGCAATGTTCAAGTCGGCAGTTTTTGGCTTTTTCTGGCCGATTCTAAGTCCAAAATCACTCCGAGACCACAGTTAGAATCTATACAACCTCTTCTACAAACCTTATATTTCACTTGCTAACTTCACTCCGTTTCTAAACATTATACAGTAAACTAACGGTGTTAGTTTAAGGATAGATATCTAAAATAAATTCAATCAAGGATATCAACTAGGATTTTGCAAAACCTTGGTTGCGAAAATGTCATTACCTTTTCAAAATAATGATTGATTAGAAATGGCAGATATTGTCTCCCATGAATGATTTAGTAAAGCCACCACTACCAGGCACGTTTTCAAGACACAACTAGCACATAAAAAATTCTCCACATGCTCCAACCGAAGTCATACATTATATGTATGAAAACATGTTGGCCCCCTTAAACACCCCAATAGTTTGGAAATTATCTTTAACATCCTCTACAACTATAAGTATCACTAAACATTGACCTTCACTCAACAATATTTCCAAACTATGGAAGTGTTTGTTAAAGTAGAAAAATTTCAGTGAAATAATTTATTAATTAAAATTAAGTTTAAAATGACTTAAAATTAGATGCTATTTTTTTTTTTTTATAGGTCCATCACAATCCAACAAATTTTTGAGATTAAAGTTGTGCGATGTTGTAATTTGCACTAATGAGAAGTATGTAGGATCTTGTGTAGAATTACGAGAGTTTATATAAAAACCGTGATTTTAATGTTAGATCAATGGATAAATAAGAAATCAAGCAATAGTACAAGAAAGATATTTTTAAAGTGACTTGGATGTTAGGTGCAAATCCTACGTCACATATTCTTGTATTATTTTTCTACGCACAAGTGCGGGTTACAAAGTATGGAGCAAAATCAAATCCCTAATCTGAATAAAAAGTAAGCTTATATACTATTACAATGAAAAAATTATAAATAAAGTCAACCTAAAAAGAATGACATTTGGTGTGAATCCATGCTTCATGGATATGTGACAAAATTTAAGTCAATATTTGTATGGGTGAGGTATGCAATAGTAGAGGAAACCAGCGATAATCTTAAAATACGAGTAGTGGTGGAAATAGTCTAAAAGTTAGGGGACTGTAAAGATATTATCGCTAACTAATAAAAAATCAGTCAACTAACAACCATCTTTACAATGAGCCTTTAGAACACCTGTAAGTCATGACAGTTCTCTATCTCTGTCAGTTTCTCACCAAACTCTCTACCTGACCTATTTGATATCTTTCAAAACTTCTACCATTAACATGTTTTTTAATTGCAACGCTCCTCTAGCTTTCTTTTCAAGAAAACAAAACATGGAGAGAGAGAGAGGTGGAGGAGGGACTACTCCTACCAAGGTCTTCACTTCTGAACCAAGGCCTATTCTCACAGCCTCGGCAATGGCAGTGGCAGTGACTGCGGCAGTGGCATACACAAGGTGATTCTTCTGCTACAACGCTGTTATTCTCAGACCTTGGTCGCTATCTGCGGTTCATTTGTTCTGGGTGTTGTTAAGTAATTAATACACTATATATATATATATATATATATATATATTATATATAATATATATATATCTGTTTTTTTGTTATTTTAGCTTTCTTTAACAGTAGCAGCGCCAATAATGCAACATTTTCAGGCAAAAAAAACCAGAATAAATTGGGAAGTTCTTTCGTCTGAAATGTCTAGTGAAAGATTTTCTTTTGGTTGGTGGTAAGTAACTACTTGTTTAGTTCTTATTCTTATATAATGTTAGGTTGGGAAGAGATACGTTAGTGGGATGACCTTACTGATAATGATAATTTAGAGCACTTCAGTGGTCATGGCTTCTTGATTTATAGGGAATATGTGATAGTACAGTAGCATGGAGACAATGGACTCAATACCAAGGCCAAAATTGAAGGGGGTGGGCCTGTCTATTGGAAGGATTGTGATGCAGCTGACCCAAAGGTTTAGGCCAGATCCGCCAAATGCCAATGGCTGTGACACATAGATGTAATAGCCCCTGTCTACTCT